CTCAGTGACGGGCGTGAGGCTTTCCAGAGCTCGTGCCTGCAGCACGGATCCCGTAAACACGTTAGGAGAAGGCAGCGCCGCAAGACAGCGGTGCGTTCTTCACCCGGGCCCGAGCCACCGCGAAGAGCAGGGGTCTGCTGCTGGCTCTCGAGGGTATTCCTGGCTTGAGCCCCACGATACAGCTGTGCAACCCATAGTCTCTTGATCTACTTATTACCATGGTTATAGAGGAAACAGCTTCTTGATGTTATCATTTGGCCAGCAAAGATAAGCTGGAAACTCACTATTATCAATTCAAATCTAGAATAAAGTTTATGACATTATAGATATTGTGATGACAGATAGATGCTTATAAGACAAATTTTGTAGATAATTTACATAGACTAAAAATTGGAATCTTCCATTGGCTTTTTGGTTCTACACACTTTGGTCTATTAAAATATTTTAAAGGAACCAGAAGATGGGAAGAAAAAACATAAATTAACTTTATCTGGTTAGTAACATGTATTTGGGGAGAAAAGAACTCCCTCTGTGTATTAGTAGAGAGAAGGAGATATTAACACAGCAGGTTTATAGGCCAGAGATTCGTCATACAACGCCAGGGTGCGTGCTTAGCCTGACGCAGCCCCACTTTCATTATAGAATTAGCTGGTGTGCTGGGTAGTTTCTATTAGCCCGTGAAAAAGCCATTATCCCTTCCTTCTGCCCTGCTCTTACCCACTAGCCTTCTCTGTGTTGAGGCTTCTGATTGTGCTCAGCCAGTTAGGAAGCTCAAGCAAAATGTAAAGAGGGAAGAGACCAAGGTCGGGGTATTGTTCCTGATTCTCTCCTCGGGAGGTCACATGGCTCCACCCGTCCTTCGTGAGGAAGTCACTGCTTCTCTCACGCTCTGCCTTGCTCTGCCTCTGGCCCCCAGCTACATCCCAGCCCTGGTCCCTTCCAGCACAAAGGAGGCAGCAGCTCCATCCCACGGCTCTGGCTCCTGCACTGCCGTGGGTTCCCCTGTACACCACCCACAAATCTGTAACTACACCATCATCGCATTCCTTAATTTTCATGTCTTTCACTTCTTAGGGTCCCCTCCCAATCCAGCAGGCTACCAAAAGATTAATGAAGATAAACAACTGCACCTGAAACAGAGGCCAGGGAGATACAGTGAACAGTGGGTTGTAGGGAGCCTCTTCCCTTCATAATGGGAAAGCACATGAATATTTAAAACTATGTGTAGCTATCCATGCACACATCATACACGACCAGGTACAGACACGCACATACACACACACACACATATTTAGCTGCTCCCACAGAACTCACGCCCAGCCAATTTTAGCTGACAGCAGAGGACTAGGGCAATGTGGTGTGACTCCACGGTCGTGAGAGAAAGGAAGTGGGTCACACAGACCAAGCCTCTGTGAACATGATGGTCTGCTGACAGGACCACCTTCCCAGCAGCTCAGGCAGTCTCTGAGATCACCCAGAAAGACTGCAGGGCTGGGAGCTGCAGCGGTCCACAGTGTGCGCATCAGGAATGCCCAGCGGGTCTGGTGAGATACAGCTGGACGTGCCAGCTGCCAGGTATGGCCTCGGGAAACAACAGCATCAGGGCAAGTCCAGGAGAGCCAGGAGCAGTGCTCATCCGCACAATTCCACACGCTATCTTTTTACCCACTTGCAGCCTTTGGCTCTGTTGATAAATCTGTAGATCAGTATACATAATAATAAATACAAATCCAGAACAAATCTGTAAACACTAAGCTATTCCTTTCTAACACACACTTGAGACCACAATACTTACGACCCTCATGCTGTACGCAGTTTACACAGCTCAGAGTTTTCACACAAAAATCAGAAACACGGTTTTGTGTCATTAACACAACATCAGATTAGAAAGTAGTATCCAACACTTTTAAGAAATTAAGCAACCAATTAAAAGCCCACAGGTTGCCCCAGTTTGTTTCCCCTGAGCCGTTACAGACCTTGGGAACTGACTGAAAGCCCAAAGCCCTTGGCATGGCTGGAGACCAAGAGTCAGAACCGTAAGCGGCACGGAGAGCAAGACCAGGTGACTGACCACAGCAGCCAGGGCCGGGCGGGACCGAGCCCAGCCGCGCAAAGGGCAGCCGCAAGGGCCCACACTGGGTCTGGGTGACGTGAGCTGTGAAAACCTGGCGGTCAGGCCTCCTTCTCAGAGAGCGTACGCTGAGGACAAACTGCCAGGAGAGCAATCTGAATTCTAGAAACAATGTGACAGAGTCCAGGTAACAGAGTGCAAAACAGAGCCAGGCGACTTTAACTGCAAGTGAACGTCTTAACGCCTCAACACCAATAGAAGAGGCGCGCTGAAGGGATTAAGAAAGCTGCTCGACCTGCATCTACTAAAAGTGCAGGAGCAGTCGCACCTAAATACGGGAAATAGAACACAGAGTGATCAGAATTTAAAAACGAGGGGAAACAAACAGACTACCATCTCTCCCGATGAAAACATGCCCACAGGACATATCCACCCAACACCAAACTGAGCTCCAAGTTATTAGCAATTTGCATGAGAGTTGAAAGAGCAGAGAATCCAAGAAGGCTGAATAGAGGTAAGATGCACAGATTTCAGACGCGGAAAGATACCAGTAAAACAGAGGAAAGACCATGTTCCCAGGGGACTGGATGAGGGATAGTTAGTGGAGAATGGACAGTACAGAACAGAGACTCCAGGGAGCAGCAGGGAGAGAGGACAGACTCATAGCAGCCAGCTGCGAACTGTCAGTGACTCCTGCAGCCGGTGCCTGGGCAAGGCGAGAGGAGGTTATGTGGCCCATGCACAGTACTGACCGAGGAGAATTCCACGGTCCCCACTCACTGTGAGTCCGGCCTGGGGAGCTGGCAGGGGCAGGGCGTCCATTCTGCTTAGTGCAGAGAGGCAACATTGCTGTCCTTCCCTCCTCCACCAAAGCACAAGACTCAGTTTGCCGAGGGGGAGCTGTCCTGACTTGGAGAGTGGCGTGAGGCTTGCTTCAGGGACAGGGCAGCTCACAGGGCAGCAAGCAGACCCCCTGTGTGCACCATGGTGGGAGTTCTTGGCATGGGCTGCAAAACGGAGAGGGACATGGGTTGTGCAGGGGAACACAGGCACCCACGTGGTCTGACTCTGGACACCCAGAGCGTCCTGAATGCTGAGGCTGGATCTCGTGGAGGGCTCGGGGTCATACTGCAGCACATCAGGGATTTATGCAGTTTGTGTGCCAGAGTGGGTGGGGTGCACAGGCACCGGGAGCTCATGCTAGGCAGTGAATCACCTGGTTCACGCTAGCCTGGAGAAGGCCTGGTCTGTGCACAGCCAGCATCAACATCCTCCCCCTGACTATAATCAGAGGAGTTCCACCTTGCCCAGCTTGGGTGTAACTCTGGACTCCTGCCTCATCTGCACATGGTGGCCAGAGTTCCCTGGCTCACCCAGCACATACATCTGGATCCCTGGTGTTGGCCACAAGCAGTCCCCCAAGCACAGAGGCATATTTCAAAAACAAAGCACTCAGAGGAGACAGCAGCAAGTGCTTTCCCAGATGCATAAAAGTCAAGGCAGAAATACAAGAACATGAACAAGGAAGGCGATATGACTCTTCCTAAGGATCACAACAAGGAGCCATCGCTGTGGCATAGCGGGTAAAGCCGCCACCTGCAGTGCCATTGTCCCATATGGGCACCAGTTCAAGCCTCGGCTGCTCTACTTCTGATCCAGCTCTCTGCTATGGCCTGGGAAAGCAGTGGAAGATGGCCCAAGTCCTTGGGCCCCTGTACCCACGTGGGAGACCCAGAAGAAGCTCCTGGCTCCTGGCTTCGGATCAGCCCAGCTCCAGCTGTTGCGGCCATTTGGGGAGTGAACCAACAGATGGAAGATCTGTATCTCTCTGCCTTTCCTTCTCTCTCTGTGTTACTCTGACTTTCAAATAAATAAATAAATCTTTAAAGAAGAAAAAGGATCACAATACTATATTAACATGGGACTGAACACAGGGACATTGAAGAAATGCTTGAAAAGAATTTTAAAAGAGCAATAAACAGTTATATGAAATAGGGAAATGCACAAATGATATGCATGAGAAAGTCTGCAAAGAGATGGAGATTTTGAAGAAAAACCGTACAGATATATTAGCAATGAAGAATTCAATAAGTCGAATAAAAATACACTAGAAATCACTAACAGACTCTGTGACACAGAAGAAAGAACATCCAATCTAGAAGACAGGGGTTTTAAATATCTTAGACAAAAAAGTAAGAAGACAAAATTCAAAAGACTGAAAACAGTGTTCAGGATCTATGGGCTACCATCAAATGAGCAAATACACTGGTCTTAGGAGTTCCTGGAGGAATGGGAAAAAAGAATGGCTTCAGAAACATATTCAGTGAAATCATGGTAGAAAAACTTCTCAATTTAGAGAAAGGTATGGACATCCAAATACAAGAAGTACAAAAAAAAACCAAATATGCTTGATCAGAAAAGAGCCTCACCATGATACCTTATAGTCAAACTTTCAAAAGTAAAATATAAATAATAGATTATAAAATGTGCAAGAGAGAAACACCAGATCACCATCAAGGAAGGAAGATGTAAGCTAAGATACTGAGTTCAGTTAAACTGACTTTCAAGTATAAAAAATACAAACTATTCTCAACATGCTATTCCAATGACCTTGTCCCAGAGAACAACTTTATATAATCTAAAGCTTTAGAACATTTTTTATGCCAAGGGTCGTTAGGATATTCATAACATTATTTGCAGGCCATACAAAATCATCAACCTAAAAATTAGCTTGCGGTAGTTTTATTGGATTTCGAGTCCTGCCTGTGTTGGCAGGGTCAGACCAAATGATTTTGAGGGCCTTATATGGCCTGTGGGCCAGCCGTTCCCCACCCCAGCCTAGAAAAACATCCATTTAAGGACTGTTGGTGAGCATAGGATGCATACTTGCTCATAGAATTATGACTACAAGTTCAAGAGGAGAACTCACAGTATGCTGTGGCTGTGTGATCTGACAATGAAGAGACGCCGAAACCATTCTGTTAAGTGCGAGAGTATCAGCAGCGCTGTCTGTTAAAACTGTTCACTCTTCAGAAATCACCGTGGTGGTGGTGGTGGTGGTATCAGCCTCCTGAGGGTATTCTGTGTGGAAAATGGAATGTTCTAATTATACCAACCTCTGTGTCCCCAGCATCAGTCCCTGAGAACTCGGTGTAGCAAACAGAACATTCAGATAGGTTCTAGGAGAGGTCAGATAAAACCCCAAAGTCTTGAATTTAAGATACACAAGAACTACCAGTTAAATGCCAGCCAAAACCAGTCTCCCCTGCCTTTCCTTTACATGGCTGGATTTGTCATGGCCTTGCATCCATCACAAAGACTTCCACTGGGCTCCCGCCAGTTGGCCCACACCCGGATCAAGTGCATCTGCAGCCACCTGGCCAGTGCCAAACTTGAGGGCCCAGGCTGCCTGCTGAGCACCATCCAACAACCAGGCTGCTCCCGGTTCCAGGCACCTTCCCTGCAGTGCACACTGACTAAGAACTGTGAGTGTGACTAAGTCAAGTGCACACTGACTAAGAAATGTGAGTGTGACTGAGTCAAGTGCACACTGACTAAGAACTGTGAGTGTGACTAAGTCAAGTGCACACTAAGAAATGTGAGTGTGACTAAGTCAAGTGCACACTGACAAGAAATGCTTGTGTGTACCTAGTATTGTAAACAGCATATATATATGGGGGGAAAACTATAAAGATCATCTCAGTTGACATTTTTATTTCATACAAGGGAAAACTAAGGCCCAGAGAGGCAAATAGAGTTTCCCAAAGCCACACATCTGAAAATAGTATCAGTATTTGTTTAAATGCTTATTTTTCTCCATGCAAGGGTTGCAATGTAGTCACCTTGAAACCTCAGCACATAGCATAGTTCAAATATATGGTAAGCTGTCAATCAGTTCAATGAATAGTCCAAAACAGCCTAATCCGGAACAGAGGTGACACAATTCTTTCAATCAACAAATGCTCAATGAATACCTTCTATGCCAACCACATCCTGGGTCTTGGTAAATCTGTGATAACTAAGATGATCTTACTCTCAAGAAATTCATCATCCACCCGACTCAGAGAGGTTAAGTGCTATGTTAAGATTTTTAGAAAGACAGGGTTGTGATGAGCAGTGAGTGGATGGCTATGTTAGATTACATGGCCTGTAAGAACCCACAACTCAGCAGTATTTTTTATCACAGCTAAGAGAAAAGTTAAATCATCTATCTCTACAAAATATGTAGTTTTTCTGAAAACATCAGACATTTAAAAACTCAGTTGCATTGTATTTCCATTGACTGATGCTTCTGCCCTACTCCAGAGACTAAGTTTATTGATCTCTAAGCATGGCTCCTGAGAAAAGCTGTAAATTTATTTTACATTTCTAGTTTCTGTCAATAATAAATGATATTTAGGGGCTAGCAGTGTGGCATAGTAGGTTAAGCCTTCACCTGAGGTGCCAGCATCCCATATGGGCACTGGTTTGTATCCCAGCTGCTCTTCTTCCAAACCAGCTCTCTGCTGTGGCCTGAGAAAGCAGTAGAAGAAGGCCCAAGTGTTTGGGCTCCTGCACCCATGTGGGAGACCTGGAAGAAGCTCCTGGCTCCTGGCTTTGGATCAGCCTAGTTCCAGCCATTGCAGCCATTTGGGGAGTGAACCAGCAGTTGGAAGACCTCTCTCTCTGTCTCTCCCTTTTTCTGTCTGGAACTCTGCCTCTCAAATAAATAAATAACTCTTTAAATAATAATAATAATAATGATGATATTTTAAAAACTGTTATTAGGAACCAGAATTTACTACTGAAAAGACTTAAGATGTGTCCTTTTGTGATTAAAATAATCATCTAATTTCTATGTATTCTAAGTCTTGCTCTTATGTTCAGGTAGGGCTTTTTCCCCCCTCCCTCATGAAAATAAAAAGAAAACTGACATTGCTGTCATAGGTACACACCAAATACATGAATTCCACCATATGAAAAGATGAACCAATCATCAGAAGGCCTCTTCACTGCTAGTCCTCTCCTGCGGTCCCAAGTTGTGGTTGTAACATGGGACCTTTCAAATGTACTACATACACATGTTTGCTGTGAAAGATGTAGCACTTTGGGGAGGTTTATTGTTTATGGATCATGCTGACATCTGCTTTTTTCCCCCACATAAACATACTTTTGAAGTCTATGTAAGTAAATAGATCCATGTCATTCTTGTTCTTATATTGCATTATACCCATTTTGTGGTTTTAGAATCAGTCATTCTCCCTATTGAGGACTATTTAGGTTGTTTGCAACAGTCCAGGGATGAACAGTAACTCATCTTCCTGAACCTCTTTTCTGTGATCTTGTACATGTGTCTTGTGCACGTTGCTGACGGAAGGGTACCTTGACATCGTGGTAGGGACGTGACGCGATAGGAACGTGCGACAGAGCAGGCAGCAAGAGATGGGGGAAATCCGGCATCTGCCCAGAACTAGGCAGTCCCAGAGCCTCGTGTATGGCTCTCCTGAGGATGTCAGCTGGCCCTGGGGGAGGGTGAGAAGGCTCCCTGGTGGGAGCATCCCATGACACAAATGCCAGGCAAGGGCACTGCCTCAGGGGAACCAGCTCCACCTGAAAGGCTGGCACTGACCGCCAGAGGCCTGCCCGAGAGGGTCTCCAAATGCATCAGCAAGGAAAACATCACTGGTTTCAACGGACTGCAGAGAAAGGGACACCGGTGAGGCCTGAGTGGACAAGCGCTAGGAAGCTGCTGAGTGGGGCACCAGTACCAGCTGGGCCTGCTCGCTCTCCTCCCTCTGCCCTGGCAACAGCCTGCAAGCACCCAAGTCGACCTCAACAAGAGGGTGAATGGGGGTCGGCGCTGTGGTACAGGGGCTTAAAACCCCGGCCTGCAGCACTGCCATCCCATTTGGGCACTGGTTCAAGTCCCAGCTGCTCCACTTCCAATCTGGCTCTCTGCTGTGGCCTGGGAAAGCAGTGGAAGATGGCCAAGTCCTTGGGCCCCTACACCTACTTGGGAGACCCAGAGGAGGCTCCTGGCTCCTGGCTCCTGGCTCCAGTCAACTCAGCTCTGGTCATTGTGGTCATTTGGTCATTTGGGGAGTGTACCAGAAGATGGAAGACCTCTCTCTCTCTGGCTCTACCTCTCTCTGTAACTCTTTCAAATAAATTAAAAAAAAAAAAAAAAACTTAAAAAAAGAGGGTGAAGAAATGTGGAGTCCTGGGAGCCCCCACAGGGCACAGCACAGCCCCTTCCCCGTGAGCATCCTCCCGGCCTGGATGAGGAGCAAGCTGGGAGAGACAGATGGCAACTGGATAAGCAACACAAGTGTGCACTGACCCAAGATGGAAGTTTCTCACCCTCCCATTGTCTCCAGTTCCTGAGTCTGATTAGGAAAAACTGTGGAATCTGTACAAAACCTGCTTGCCTGCTTCCTGGGGTGAAGAAGGGAGAACAGACAGAAAGCACTGAAGGACAATGCAAAATTAAATAATGAAATAAAGCGCCTGCCTGCTGGCATCCTGCCAATAAAAGCACTAAGGCAACGTCTCTAGACACAGCACAGAAGGCAACACCCCTGGCACCCTGAGGAAAGAGAATCAACACAGCCTGAAGATGATTCGACCCACACACGTGTGTGCCCTGTATGCTTACAACCTAACAATAAAGCAAGTATTCATACATTCCAAATCCTACAGATGAGGACACACAGACCCAAAAACTCACAGCTGACAATAACCACGGCTGTAACTGTGGCTCAGTGGAGTGCACCGGCTCTCTGCTGAGTTGCACAAGTATTGCTCTCCTAGCCCTGACAATACCCTGGAAGGCAGTTTCTGCTGATCCCACACACACACAGGGGATCAACTCCAGTCTTTACTGCGTGCCCCTGCTTCACCATCCCGGGAAACCTGGAAAGGGTATCATTGTTTCCGACTTAATGCCCACTTTTCACATCAGGAGCAGGCAGTTGCCACCAAATTATAGAATAAAGCAGACTTTACTCACAATCCATCGCAGCCCAGAATTACTCAATTCACATCAATAGTTACTGGGATGTTGTAAAAATACTCATTTTCTTTATTTAAAGCTGTGAGACAGAAACTCCTGGGTTGCAGCACGGTATAAAATTAAGCACCAGGCACATTTCTTCTGCCAAGAATAGAATCGTAGCACCATGGAACGTGGATGGTTTGCTGTCTACAGTTAACTTGACAGCTAGCATCATTGGTCTCCTTGTTAAGGAATAGCTCAGGGTGAGGTCTAGGACACACTGCCCAGCACCAGGCAGTCACAGGGAAAATACTCCCACCAGTCTCTGAAACTGTACACGCCAGGGAGGAAGGGACGGTAGCTGTGCCCAGACACACAACTCACACAGGAACATGGCCACCCTGGTCTTCTCAGGGTGAAAGAATGCACCATTTATGAACCTTCCTGGGGATGGTGCCCAAATCCACAGACAACTTCAGCCCCTCTCCTTGGCCCCTTGTTTTTATCCGCAGGGCAAGGTTATATCCTGCTCTGTTTCAGGAAAGAAATGGAATTGACTTTCAATTTCAGAGGCTACATATGAATTAAGAAAACCGCTACACGGAGACTTCAGTTCACTTCTTAAAATAGACTTTATAATCAAATCTGTGTCCTCTCCACTTTTCCAAAAGTGCATTCTGGAGCCACTATCTTCATTCCTTTGCCACGTCAGGACGTGTTTCCTGGGTCCATGGCACAGGAGATCCGGCGTCACATTGCTGCCATTATGGAAGTGCTATTCAAGGTGACCAAAGAGAAAACGGAGGATCAGAAAAGGCCCCTCTGGAACCAAGGAGCTGTCAGAGTCTGCAAACACTGGTAACTTCCCCGAGTCTGCCCATGTGTTATCCCCGTCTTCACCCCTTCCCATGATTAATCGCTAAACCACTGAAGAAAGAAGATCCTGTGTTCATTCTTTAGGTGCAGAAAGTGGGAGGGAAGCACCTCATCTAAGGCCTCTGCCAGACTCATGAAAGAGGGGAGTCCCCCCCAACACATGCACCACACCAAATTTTTCTAATGGAAAAGGATTCCAGGGAAGACATTCAGAACAGAATGGCAGAGCCCT